TATTTTATACTAATATTTACGTTTTTCATTAAAAAAATGCTAAAAAAAATGTTTGTCATAAAAAAGTTTTAGAACACTTTTTCATATAAACATATTTTTACTGGAATTTATAATAAAGACTTAACAAATTTTTTAAAGAGATTTTATTATGTTTTGTGACAAAAACTTTTCAAATTTATAAAAACAAGAGAAATTTGAAAAAATACCATTTTTCAAGTTCCACTTTACAAAAATGCCACACTTTTGAAATTTTTACAAAAATGCCACTTTTTCAAAATTATTTTTTCTTTATATTATTTATTTTTGGGTTAATTATGTTCTATTAGGGTTTAGTTTTGAGTGTTTAGGAGGTTTTCTGTGTCAAAACATTTTTTAGGATTTATAATTAAAAGATATATGTTTTATAAATGTATAATTAGTAGCATTTTTGTAAATTGATACTCCTAAGTGGCATTTTTGTAAATGTGCACTAAAAAAATGACATTTTTGTAATTGCCCCAAAAAACAAATATACATATTCTTAAAAATAAGTAATTTCTAACACAAGACAATTTAACAATAACAAAATCATTTAAGATAAATTGTATAATAAAAATTGAAAACAACAAAAGTTTGGAAAATAAAAGAAGAGGAAAACGTAGTGTACTTGGTTTATGGTGTGTAAAATTTTTTATTAATTTTTATTTGTTTACGAAAAGTTTCTCACATTAATCTTTTCATATTTCAACGTCCAATTCAGTTTTTATTCAAAATTCAATGTGAAGAAAATGATAGTTAAAAAAAAATATTATAAAATAGGAAATTCAATATTTTATGAGAAAAATATCAAATTTTGATAATAGATTGTGAACTCCAATATATTAAATTATTATATATTTTATTTGATACGTTTACGTATATATAATAATGAAATGGTAAACCTAAAAAAATTATATTATTAACAAAAAAATGTTTACAACAATATATCAACAACAATGTCTATAGAAAAAAGGGCAATTATAAAAATGCCACTTTTTGTGTGCACATTTGCAAGAATGCCACTTAGAGGTGTCCATTTACAAAAATGCCACTAATTATAGATTTATAAAGCCTATATCTTAAAATTCTAAACCCTAAAAAATGTTTTGACACCTAAAACCCCCTAAACACTCAAAACTAAACTCTAATAGAACATAATTAACCCAAACATAAATAATATAAAGAAAAAATAATTTTGAAAAAGTGGAATTTTTGTAAAGATTTCAAAAGTGTGGCATTTTTGTAAAGTGGTACTTGAAAAGTGGCATTTTTTTGAAATTTCTCTAAAAAAAAACATATTT